CCTAATTTTTCCGCTTCACCTCTCTGGGAGGGCCTGGAGGGGCAGCCAGGCGCTGCGGATGCACTGTCTCTGCTTTCTTCTCTCGTGGGGTTTTGAACTCTGCCCACAGGGACGCACGCGCGTCTCCCGCTGTGTCTCTCCCTTCCTGCGGTGCTGGACACCCGCTCCCTGCTACCAGAAACAATGCTGTAATTAGCACAGCGGTGCGTGGTCGTGGTCCTTTGGGGGTGCTCAGGAGAAACTTGCTACTCCTGGAGGCCGGAAGGTCCGGGTCTCGGCGCGGGCAGGTTGGTCTGCAGAGACGCCTCCGCTCGCTCGTCGCGCCCCCAGCGGCGCGCCGCCCCGCATCCTCGCCCGCTAACCGCCGGCCACCCCCACCCCGGCGCCCCGGCCTCCCTCCGTTTCAGCGTCTGGCTGGGGAGGGCAAACGCTCCGCCTCGCAGCGTGCCCACGCTTCGGTTCTGCATAAACTTCACAGCGAGCTTATCGATTTCGTCCACGTCTCCAGCCAGGACTCTGATCAGAGCTGCATTTAGCGCACAGCTAAATCAGAAGAGTCGGGGCCGGGGCACACGGGGCGCCTCGTCCCGCCGTGCCCGGCTCTCCACTCAGAAAGGCCTCCTTTTGTGCTCTTGCCCAGAACCTTCGATTTCCCCTAGAAAGGGCCCGTGTGGTCTTTGCTACGTGGACTCCACGATGCTTTTTCGGTTTTCGCTTTTGCAAATTGTGAGGGTTTTTGTGTTTTGTTTTGTTTTGTTTTGTTTTAATCTCGGCCATTTTTCACTAAGAACTTGTTCCTATAAAGTATTTTATAGCACTTTGTTAATACTAACATTGGATGGTACATTTGCTCACGTGTGACCCTTCACTGTTCTGTAAAGAGGATTTATTTGGTGTCCGTTTCTCATCAGCGGGTGAGACCAGCGGAGGCTGAAACAGTTACCAGCTGGAGCCGGACTGTTCCAAGTGAACCCTGTAAATTGGTGGTCAGGCTAATTCTGCTATTGCCTCAGTACTTGGAATCTCAAAAGCACCGAATACCACTGAAAATACTGATTCTTTTATAAAACTACGTATAAAGAAAGGAGCTTTTGTGTTTCTCAACCCAGAATTCAATTTTAAAAAGCCCAAGTTTCCAGATAAAATACTTAGAGCCTTGAGCTTTGGTCCATTTGCCAGCTTAGAGTGAGGATAAAAGCCAGGAACAGCCAGGCGCGAGACGCACAGGGAAGGCGCAGGCAGCGCC